TTCCAGAGCAAAGTGTTTAATCTGTTAATATTCATGCGAAAAGTTCCCGTAGCACACTTACTAACAAAACGTTATCCACCATGTGGCTTCATTGGTATTCTTAAGGCATACATTACTCGAAATACCCCAAAGTTTATGGAAACTTAGAGTGTTTTCACCTGTTGCATTTACAGGTCCAATTAGTTTCAGGTGGGAAACAGCAGGATCTAAAGGTGTTCCCCCAGTTTATAAGAAGTTCTCCTCTGGATTTCCCCCATTTCCACCCCAAATTAAAACTTGTGCCCTTGGCTGCCTGGAAAAACTGTGGTCTAACGTGAACAGTGTAGAGTTTAGAGCTACAGCATGCCTTAAATATCTGAGCATAACTGACAGCAAATGCCCCACCTTCCCAACTTCACCTCATCATTGAAATGACAAAACAGTGATTTGATACATATTTTGGATTGTGTACGCCATGGTGAACCGACTTGGGAGGTGGGGAAAGCAAGAAAGTTTTAGTGCTGGGTCATACCTATGACACTCTTAGCGAATGAAGAGCGCTTGAGGGTGGCCAAGCCCAGATCACCGATCTTAACGGAGCCGGTAGGGCCGGTGATGAAGATGTTGTCGCACTTAAGGTCCCGGTGAATGATGGGTGGAGCCCTGGTGTGGAGGAAGTGCAGGCCCTTCAGGATTTGCCGGCACCAGCTCCGCAACACCTTTATCTTCATCACCTTGAAGCGCTTCAGATACCTGAGGAACAAAGACATTAGAGTTGAGAATTATCGCTATGTTCTTCTTCACTGGACCTGTTGACAGAGTAAAAACAAGCAACAGATGTATCAACAGAAGATGATACATGTCTACAGATCTCTGGTTTGGCGGTCCCATCTCAGATAGACAGTTTCAACCAATGAAACCATGAGGAGAACGAAAAATATTGAGAAAACTCTCTACTCAACAAGATCTCATTTCAGTCCATATGAGGATCAGGGAGAATTACATGATTACACGATGATGGGTCTAGGTCTTTGAAGCATCCTTATGAACAGTTGCATTCTCTCAGATGAGTCCCAGATAGAAGAGAGGACAACAGCATGTGAAGGTGGCGGTACAGCACTTGTTAGATTAGCTTGGCCTAATCAAATCTTGGAGCCAAGCCATAGCCAGGATTTGGCCTTATAATCCTCATTACAACAATCTACTCAGTTTAGGCACCAATACACAGGGAGCTGGGTACCCTTTATCCCATTATGCCCTAGGCGAAGATGGGCACAAGCTCACAAGCAAAACATACCGTATACAGCAGCACAATTGATTCATTTGTTACGGAACGAGACTTTATTTTAATCTGACACACCGTTT